GTGACAACGAACAATCTGCAGCCGTTTCCTTCCGATACCTGTGTTATTCCATTTCCAAAGCTTTCATTACAGGATTAAGTCAAAGGATAATGATTAGTGAGGGAAAGGAAATGTGAAAAGGAAAAGAACAGGAGAAAGGATTGGAGTGATTTGTCCATATTTGATCAAATTGATCAGCGCATGAAACCCCGAAATGGCTTAATATGCATGCGTTTTTCATCAGTCCCTTTTCGAGAGGCGCCACACCATGAAATCTATTCTAGATCGTATCGGCGTACCAGTTGATCCCGATTTCTTCAATAAGCGGCCAGCAAACTCCAAATTCATTCCTGTTGCCTGTTGAGATACTCCAATGGGTCTACCTCGTTCGAGAGACACGAAGCTGATCATTCGATGGTTTCAGGATCGTAGTTTCATTCAAATACGGTATTGTGGCCTGCACAATGACTTACGGGGCCCAGTGGATGCACATATCAGCGTACTATCCCCCATCCTTGTCTGGTCACACAAAAAAGCTCATAAAGGGACGGAAGGACCTAGCCAAGATTGGACCCAGAGCATGACCTCTGCACCACCCCCTCCTCCGTTCTCCCGTTTTCTGAGCGCGTGATGAAGGGCGTCACCCGTCAGCTCGTTTATTGCGAGGATCACACTGAAATTTCGAGTCTCAGAAAACGATTTGAAAGTTAAGAAATTGCATGTATAGAATAGGGTCACACTATGAAATTTCAATGGAACTTTTTTGGTGCTGAAGCCAAGAAAGTATAGTGGCATGTAATTTATGACATGTAATTGTGTAATAGTTCTATATAAGTATGGAATAGTTATATGTTATATAGTTATCGTTGAAAATACCAGAGCCGAAGAATTGCTTAGAGACTGAGGAAGCGTATATCCAATCCGATATAAAGCGATTTTCTCTGCTGACCATAGCGGCAACAAATCTTGCACAACAATGCCTTGTCTACTTGAGCAAGACTTCTATCAATATGGTTGACTGGAAGAACCTAACTTGGAAGAGACAATACTAGTTTCCAAAGGTCCTCTGAAAGTCCAATTTCACCGGCCGAAAAAAAATGAGACAGTCTCTAGATGAAGAGCTGAACAGAGCGCCCAAAATAGCTTTGCAGCTAAAGGGCCCTTTGGGTCCATGCTTGCCCCGCCTCCTCATCTTGCAAACCGCACAGCTCGAGTATCATGCAAAACAACATTGCGGGTTATATATTATCCACTAGAGTTGTTGTTTAGACCTATCCGGGCACTAGCTATTGTTTGAATTTCTGCAAATATCTGCGAAGGAGAAGTTCTGCGTGGTAACTTTGAATGAGGAAACTCAAACAATACTGGACAAGAATCCAACTGGACAATAACCCATAGGCCATTCGATAACCAGGACAATGGTAAAAATGATACTGACTCTAGAAAAACACAATAAAGCGCACAGTGCAAATGAGTGAACAGCCGGAATAGGTTGAAAAAATCTCGGAGAAAGAAGCATGGAAAAAAGCGGAAGGAGATTCTGTTCCGAAATACCGAAAAACGGAAAACGGAATTGCGATAATATGTGAACGTTGGTCTCAGAGGTGAAATTCGTTTGCCATAGACAACTTCTTCTCCTCTTCCGCCTCCCTCAATTAATGCAATCGGATTGATGCTGCAGCCTTCGTTTCAGCGCTTCGAGTGCTCGCTTTGGCGGATATGTTGAATTCCAATCTCTGCTTTCAGAGATATGAACCCTCGCCTTCAAATGACCAGAAATTGTGCAATGGTCAGAAATTGACTGTGGCATTAACGTGTCCATCGCGATCTTTCGACCACGTGATAGTGTCACCTTTTCATCGAGAATCTCATCGCCTGCGTTGCAAGCACGTTCCAGTATCGGCAGTTGAGCATTTCTGGTCATTTGAAGGCGAGGGTAAGCGTTATGCGGTGTCTTTGCATTATATAAAAAAATTTTGCCTCGTTAGTAGGGTCTACGTACCTTACTGCCCCGCTCACATATGAGCCTAATTGGAAATATTTATAAACCTAGGACTTTCCTCTGCTATTGAACCTCGTTAAAGAAGGGCTAGTTAAGAAAGAGTAAAAGTAATGCTATCAATAGCCATGGAAAGTCTCACAAAGGAACCTGTCCTGGTTTGTTTAATCTTTTTTTCAGTAGATGCTCACTCTCCCTAAGTACACCACTCGTGCTATGATCATAACATGAAAAGCTAGAGCGCCTTGCTGTCATGGAAAACAAGCGAAAAACCCGCATTTGCTATTTGGTGTCAGCTTTCCTGCCGGTTTAGTATTGGCGATGCACAGCCTGGCACAGCGGACATCCTAAGAGATAATATCCACTCAGATTCCCTTTCCATCGTCCATCTTACGGCGTCAGAATGGAGCGTGATTAGTACGCAGGAGAGCAACCGCTGGGCACTTCCCTTTCTCCGAAGGGTCACTCGTTGTAAAGAAAAATTATCACTCAAAAAATGGAAACTCCTCAGATCAGAAAGCTAATATCGAAAACAACTCTCAGCCATGTGAGGCAATTGTTGAGAAAAATCGGCCAATGACCCCAGGCGCTGCTACTGCTACAATCCTTTCCAGAACGATATGACCCCCTTCCCGGGGTCCTGGGCAAACTCATAATTTCACAGAAATCGTGCAAAAAATTCACTAAAATTCAAGAAATATTCACGAAACTTTTTTAAAATCTTCCCGAGAAATTCCCTTACCTTTAACGAACCCTACTCACCCCTTCTGAAAAGACGCTGCCAATTTTAGTCAATATGACCCCTTCTTCACTAGAGAACCAGATACGACCCCTTTATTGACGCTTCGTGTGTGTAGTACTAAGACTAAGACTTTCAAAGGAAATAAAGGAAGCAGACTTTCGAAGGAAATAAAGAGAGCTGTAATAGTATGCATTTGTGAGTTTACAGACAACACTACAAAACGCCACATTACCTAGCTTCACGGTTGACAGAAATACTGAGACTTCTCTCAACTCTTAATCATTGTGATGGAAGCACATTATGCTCGTACTAGGCTAACATACAGTTGTCATGCTGACTGCGATACAAATCACAAAATAGAGAGTTGAGTTAAGGGTGAGGCAGTGGGAGAGTATTCTATAGGAGGAGCCGTACATGACCTCTAGGTGGAGGAAGGTGTCCTACTGAGATTGACGTCTTTTCGTTGGGAGCGAGGAAGTTTTGAAAATGCAAGAAACACTCGGTTCCCTTAGCCATAAATAGGAATGGATAAAATGTTTGACTTCACCACTCCCACGCCGTGCATCCTTTTCCCATGAGAATAGTAAACTTTTCTAGTGGCTGGCACTTGATAGTTAACTTTCCTCGTCTTCTCTAATAAATGGATTAGTCACCCTAAAATAAAGGAAAGAAGAATGAGTTCGAACTAATTAGACAACAAGTTGAAAAAAAATGAAAAGTCCTTGATAGGGTGCTTCTGAGAAAGACTTGGAATGAACAATGTTCTCAATTTGAATAGGGTATCCGGTGTCAACGCCAATTTCATTTCGAAAAGGTTAAATTTTATTTTTAATTTTTATTAAAGGGCTATTTGCCGACTTTGCAAAATTATAAATCCACCCCATGCTTCTCTGTTGAACTTCATTATTAATTTGGTGGGACTGTCAGGTTGTTACCAATTTCTCTTCTTCAAGGTAATGAAGAATGTAACACCACCCTCACACTAGGAAAAAAAGCAAAATTTGCGCAACAGTGAGAGATTCGCCATGCAGTAAAAACCGCGCGTGATTTGAGCCCGCTTATGTGGTTGTTGAGCATTTCGTCAAGAATCCTGCAGCATGTGGAATCCAGAAGAGCACTGAACCTTTTTCTTCGCGTTTCGGTTGCGATGACCGTAGCGTTATAGGAAAAGCAGCCGATTCTCCCAAGGGTGCTCAAGAATCCAGCCTTCAAAAAAACTTAACTTCTTATAATACACTGTTTGGCGTGTGTTAGAGAAACTCTGAGCATCGCAAAAATTAAGCCAACTCTTCCATAATGTGTGCATGCTGCGCCAGCTGCATTAAGTTCGGCTTTCTACACGCTACTTTTTACTGTCTGTCTGCATTTCTCTCAATTTTTTTTCTATAGATGTGTTCGGCAGAAAAAAAAACTCGTATTGAGAGAGGGTAACAAAAAGAGAAGTGAAGGCAGGCAGTAATAGCTAGCAGCAACCTATATGACCTCGCTCCGGATCAGATCGAACCGCGATCTTGAGAAATTGGCTTGATTTTTGCGATGATTTCGTGTCTTCAAATGTGCCCTACTCATTTTCCGTCGAACAGTGGTCTCAGAGTTCCTCTAACACACGCCAACGGTGTCTTTCAAAAATTAGGTTTTTTTTTGAAGGCTGAGATTTTTGAGCACCCCTTGGAGAGAATCGGCTGCTTTTCCCATAACGCTACGGTCATCGCAACCGAAACGCGAAGAAAAGGGTTCAGTGCTCTTCTGGATTCCACATGCTGCAGGATTCTTGACGAAATGCTTAACAACCACATAAACGGGGCTCAAATCACGCGCCGCTTGACATGGCGAGCTTCTCACTCTTGCACGAATTTCGCCTTTTTCGGGAGCGGTGTTACTTTCGTTATCCTTTACCGAAGGCGGAATTGGAAACAACCTGACAGTTACGCCAAATAACAATGAAGTTCAACCGAGAAACATGGGGTGGATTTATATTTTTGCACAATCGGCAAAGTGGCCCTTTTCTAAAAATGAAAATAAAAAGTTTTCATGTTTCGAAATGGAAGTTGGTGTTTGTACTAAGATCATTTCCCCTTCCAAAGTTTCTCAGAAACACTCCATCATCCGTATTTTCAAAAACGTTAATGGTGGACTTCAAGCCCTTAGTAGTAAGTCATAACTTTATAGTAAAACGTATGCTGAGTGACGGCGGAGCGTATTGTGCGCAGCAATTTCATCAGAATCGGCTCTATTGAAATTCTTTTAGACACCACAAACGTCAACAATAACAAAACTCACCGTCTTCGAACTCAACTGAAAATTGCCTTTCATCGTCAAGCAAAAAAAGAACATAACGCATCCTGGCATAAAACCACTCCATTCGAAATACCCTGTTCAGATAACAGTTGTTCCTGCCTGTTCTCTTGCTGATCGCCGATTTTCTCAGACAGCAGTTCAGAGTAACATGTTTCCTATCCAGAATAAGACCATAGTAGTTCAGTGGACGGACAATCAGCTGATCATCCCATTCCCGCTACTTGAATCCTGATCTAGAGGTTGAGCTATGTAGAAGTTAGCAGTCGGCATTCATATCCAACGGCATTCACCTAATTAAGGTAGCAAAACATTTGTAGACGAAATCACTCGGTTCGTTTCGCTCCTTCCTCAGACGAACCTCATTATCTCGTCAATCCCCGCAGCTCATCAATGAGTTGGGATCGGCGAAATAAAGACACAGGATTAAGACGAAGAACCTTATACTCGACGTACACAATTTCATGCAGGAAGCATGACAATACGTTTGGGGGTTTTACAGTCAGTGAGTTGGGACTGCGCGATAAGGGACATAGGTGAAGGACGAAAAAACCTTAAACTCGACGTACCAATCTCTCATGCAGAGGAGGATGCACTACATTGTTTATAATCAGTGAGTTGGGATTGGCCAAATGATGACATAGGAGAAAGACGAAAAAACTTCAAAGGCAAACCAAAGTATTAGCCCGTTTAGTATGAAGGATACGGCAAAGGAAATGTCACGGTCCGTACCTACCCAAATGACTCAGCTTTCGTTCGCGAAAAAATTGCTGATTAGGCGCTAGTCCTCACGAGCTTGCAACCTAATTCGAACACTCCGGTGCAACGCTTCCAGCACCCACGCCTTGGTGAGATTAGCGTGCATTGGCGTAGAGATCAGCGAGCAGAGTAGCATGCAGTACATTGTTTATAGATTTCAATGAAAAGATGGCGTATAAGTAGGTTAAACTGTGCAAAAATAAACTCAAATGGTGGAGAAATGTAGCGGTGCAATGCATGCGCAATTAGAATAATCAAGTAGCTTTACCCCTTTAACTAGTTTACTAACATTTTTATAACATTATCTTCTGAGAACTTGTAACTATAATCTTATTTTATAGATGCATTTGATTACACCTAGATTAAATAAACTTTCGATTAGGGGTTCTTTTACTGTAGCACCCTGACGAACTCAATGGTTTATTTATCAAAATATCGAAGCAGTGCTAGCCATGCTAAGCGTTTCGGTGCATATAACCAAGCTTTTATGGTTAGCGCATACGTTTGTGTCATCAAGTGGAAATCTAATAACCTTGCAGTGAAAATCATCTATTTTACAGTACAATTTAGTCATAACTTTGTTAGCTGTTATCCTAATAATTCAATACACCCTACCGCTAGTTGGCTGTTAATGTCACCTTTCCAGGGTTGATTGATGATCACTAGGTAAATCATCACAAATCTGACATCTTGAACGAATACCTCATTTGCTAAGACCGAATAACATTTCACACTGCTGTTCATACTGGAGAGTGCTAAGATCGCGAATAGTGGACTAAAATTGCCGAACATACAAAACTATTTTTTGTCAAATATTCTGTCAACGCAACAGATCTCCTAGTTTTTAATATCTGTAATTGACCAATTTGCTTTTGTTTGTTGTTTCTACTTCTGTTTTGTGCTACTTCAAAATAATTGATGGCGTGATTTTTTGAGTGATGCCAAAAGTTTAATGAGTGTCCTTTTGGCGCGGTTTAACAATACTTGGAACCTACCTATATGCATATACAGTGGGTATTTCCGCATCTATGGTGTTAATATTATTCCATACACAGAAGAACATGTATTTCAACATCAACAAATATAATACTTGTTACTGCGTTGTACAAGTTCATACATTGTATTGTATGTATTATTGGCATTCAAAGTTATGGCTGCCGGGTTTTAGGCAATGGAAAGGTCACACTAAATTCAAGGTTACATTTCCTTCGTCAAATCAAAAAAATAAAAATTATCGAAGGGCCGAAAACATAATCACTGCGATAACGTTTGACAAATTCGTACGGTATGTGTTCCCACTTATATTAATGCTTCCTTGTGGTAAGATTGGCTTCATCTTTTCATGGTAACAGGTGCGCAGATGTCGCACTGAAAGATCTGTTCTGGTCTTTATACTTGCTTTTGAAATATTCAGTGACTTTGTTGACTGGTGGTGCCTTTATAAATTTATTCAGCTTCTGACTGCTTATGCCTGTGGCCATTCTATATTTTGTTCTTTGCTCAAGGTTCTTCTCAACTTTTCTCCTTTTATTTTGTTCAAATCTCCTGCAATGTGTGCACGTTCGACATTTTCATAGCGTTGTACTGTATCAATACCACAACACTTTCTATTAACTATTTCTACAGCACATTCGGTAAAGTTCTTTCAAAGCACTTTGTTATAATGGTGCTATTCTACAGGATTTTGTTTATTGTTTGTATTACGATGTTACTGATAGGTTGATGGAATTCAATGGTACTTCTTCACACGTGAGCAGTGTTTTCTTCAATGATTGGAGTGATGAGGGGATTTCGTAGAGAATTTCTGGCCTTGTGAGCTATTATGATATTAACGTCTATGTTGTGATTTTTCTTAGGTTTTCGTCATAGTTCGTTTGTCATGTTTGGAAAGCGGAGCCGCAGGCAGAATTATAAGGTATGTGTCTTGGCTATTTGCTGTATCAAGGGGAAGTCTGCGTGAGTTGCTTAGATTTATTCTTTATCAATTTTTCCGGTGGAGTGTTTTGCATACTGGTAAGACGACGAGGCTTGATTCACCATTATTGCTAGTGATTTCCTCCAACACTTTCGCAACAGTTGCTGCTTTATTCTCTCTATCTATCGTGTTTTGTTCCTCTGTTATTTCTTCCCATTGTTACATTGTTATTTTAAACGAGAAGAAGAGAGGATATCCCTTGTTTGGGTGACAATTGTGGACGTTGGTAATATCAGCGCGACCCAATGATGTTGGATGCTACGAGTCAACGGATATTGTGTCATCAAAAGTTTGATCCAAAACAGTTCTTTCCCTTTCTTGTTTTACCATTTGGCTTCATAGAATCGTGTAGTCCTTGTAATCACAATACCTTCACATTTATAAAATGATTATATTGGGGTGTGCGCAGTTCATGTGTGAAAATGTTAGTAACATGCTTCCCATCACTTTCTGCAAGCTTCCTTGTGGTCATCCTGACATTGTATTCTGCAGTAATGATGCTAAACAGTCAGTTTCCTGGCGCAAAGTTGTAGTTGCTCCTTTGAATGTGTTGATGTGTAAGCCTGTTACATTAGATATAATGCAATTGTGGATATTAGTAATACTGCAAGTCCCATATTTTTGTTACACGTGCAATCCGGAACAAGTTCCGGAATTTTTGAGCATGTAGTAGGGAACACCATCCCCTGCCTTGCTGATTTTTGCTTTTGTAAGGCAATAAGCAGCACCTTGAGCGTTTTTTGACCTAAGATCTAAACGTATGCGCCAAACATGTGTTCATGTCCTGCCCTCAAAGGAACCATATCATTTCATCAATCCCCGGAGCTCGTCAGTGAGTTGGGATTAACGAAATAAAGGCACAGGAAAAGACGAAAAAAATCTTTAAACTTGACAGACGAAACCATGACCAACCATGCAGAGAAACATGCAATATATCATGCAGGGGAACATGCATTATAGCGTTCATCCAAAAGGACCTACCTGGTGGACGGACAATACCATCCCATTCTCCCCTTCAACTTTAGGCTTGAACTAAAGGTTGAGATAGAGTTTATCCTGGTGTTCCCTGACGTCTCCAGATCCTGGCATTCAGCTAACCCGCAGAACATACTTTAAGCACACAATCTTCAACTGTGCTTCTAAAACATTGCCTCTCGCTTTTGGTTGGAGTCACACTAAGCCACGGCCGAATTACTCGACTGTGGATAGTGGACAAAAGGGGGAGCGGGTCAAATTTCATGATTGTGGGAAGCGGCGGTTTTTCTCGAGTTGTGGTAGCCCACCCTGGTTTAGAGCTGTTTGCTTTCTTACAGTTTACGGCTAAGTCGGTTGTGTCACAGCCGTTCTGTACGTGACCGTGAAACAGCGGGATCAAGTCGGTGCTCTGCTCAACAGGAGTTCAAGTAGGGTTGCCCGATAAGGTAGAATCGTGCGATGATTTAAAGGGGGGGGGGGCAACCGGAGGCAGGAGAAATCAATCCATCTACCTACGTCTGCCATCTTACCATTAGGGTGGCTGTTTGAACACTCTGCAGCCAAGGCATGTTAGTTGTGCTCTCCGGCCTGTATTTGACAGTGTTGCTAAGCGGTTGTGAAGCAGCCGGCTAAAATTCCACGGTGACTTTTTTGCAATATTTCACTGCCTTTTTTCTCTGAAAATGACATATCTCTTTTTCGAAATGGTCTTGGGAAAGTTTGGTGGTAAAGAATGTGTTCTATTACTATATCTCGCTTGAGGGTATGTCATCTATTGTTTTCTTTCGAAACATTAATCAACTTGTGCTGTCAATCTCGCTTGCGAAAACCCACGGCGAGACACAACAAGGCCTTTTCAGTGCGAGCCTTTCTGTCCCTAATCAGGGATTGTGACGACATCAATTTGATCTTGTTGTCAAGAATTAATCGGTCAGCGGCAAGCAATGATGTCGAGGGATTGGATAGTCAATGGTTTAGGGGTTTTTAAAATGTGGATGGATTTTGGTGGCAGGAGAGAGGGAGAAGTCGATTTTGATGGTTGTGATGATTTCGGGGAATGGAAGAAGTAGCATAACGCATATTTACCGCGTCCCCCGCTCCGCTCCGCTCGACGCAACGATTTGGAAAAAGAAAGTGGGTATAGTTGGGCATGTCGGCTGGGCTGTCTCACAACTCAAATCAAACACTTGGAAGAAGTCATGATGGTGAGGGTTGTGGTCGTTGATGAGGTAGGGCGCGTTCTTTGAAGGACTTTCTAGGGCTGATGGTGGTGAGGGGTCGTTTCGAGAACAAGGACAACCGCCCTTTG